CCCCCCCACACCTCACCTGCTAAAATTTAGGTTTGCATTAAAATACCTCGCCGTAATTATTGACACAAATTAGAATCGTGTGAATTGGAAGGAATTTTTGTTTGTGTTCGATCCTTGTAATTAATAATTATTAGTAATACATAACCTTTGACTAACAATTATATGGACGTCGGGTCCGCGCTAAAAAGTGTCCGAACTTATAGGGCGTTAAAATCGTATACAGAGCGTCATTCACGCTTTAGTCTTCGTTTGTTCGACTGACAGCGAAGCAAGCAAAATTAGACAGCACTGCGATGACATTACAATTTAAATTCAACGTTTTAGCTTTTTCATATTCCTTTACATGTCACTACGTTTAAATAGGTTGACTTGGGACATTTTTTTCGTGGTTTTTGTATTAGACCCGTCGGCCATTTATTTGTAAGTCAATGTACATAACATAATAATATCACATCACAATGTTCAACGATATTGGAAAGTGATAATTTAAACAACCAAACTCACGGTATTGGTGTTGACCCTGGTACCTCCACTGAAGAGGGTAACGGACCCGTAAACGACTGTGAACTGACGAGCCTGGTTCCTTCCGTCCCACCAGCAGTGAGCGGCAGTGACGGCGCGGTTGTTTCTAAGCATCGAGGATCCGCAGACCGAGGTAGCGCCATTTGTCAAAGTGATGACCAGTCCACCCTGGAATCACCAACACACTTAAATTATGGGCCATTTCTTTCAAGGTGATAGTGAATAGGCATTAGTTAGGTTTACATGCTCCATCGTCGACCTCATCGTCACTTTCCATCAGGTGAGATGGAAGAGTCAAATGAGCAATTAATACATACATACGTATGACGCCTTTTTCCTATCGGGGTAGGCAGAGATAACTGAAATATATAATATAGATATATCGAGCTGTAATATCTTTAAAAAAATCTATATAAAGGTTTAAATCGAGGCGTTTCTTTCCATTGCAAAATACTTGGTTTTATTTCTCGACCCAATGGAATTATTCTCACCATATGCGGGTATTGGCCTAGGTTGGCGTTGGAGCCTCCAACGATTCTGACGCCCGTGAAGTCGGTGGCTTCTTCTGCTGCCTTGATGCGGGCAGCTTCCTCTATACCTATGGTCTCGTGGTAGTATCTGAAAGCATATTATTATATACATTGTCAATTTTTAAGTTTATTGAACGCCACTATGTTTGACCACCATGATATTCAATTGTTTTAGTAAAATTACTCCACTAGTTTGTTATAATTATTAATACAAACATCGAACACTAAGAAAAAAAATAATTCGATTCGGCGGGATTCGAACCAACGTCTTCCAGCAAACCAGCAAACGAACTAGCGGACCTTATGAATCTTTATATGTGCTTATTGCAGATATTTGTTTTTGGTTTTTAACGACTTTTTTGCCTTAGCACCATCTGTGAGAAGACTATTTCTTCACTAAGCCAGGCACAAAAGGACTTAAACACTCTTTTAAAAAGGCCGTTCTTAAGGTCACAAGATCTTAAGTTCAATTCACATCGGATGATTGCACCACTGAGTCTTTTGGAATAAAGTTATTACTATCTCGATGGTGCCATCCGAGGCCACTATACAAGTATTATCAATTTGCTTTGAAAGTAACTGTGCTCAGCAGGGTATTATCAAGGAACAGTCTCATATCATTCTACATAAAGTTTGTTTATAGTGTTTTGTTTTTGTTAGTTTGTTTATCCCTACCATTGACTTACAATTATATGGACGCCGGTTCGCGCTAAAAAGTGTCCGAAGTTATAGAGCGTTAAAATCGTATAAAGAGCGTCATTCACGCTTTAGTCTTCGTTTGTTCGACTGACAGCGAAGCAAGCAAAATTAGACAGTACTGCGATGACATTACAATTTAAATTCAACGTTTTAGCTTTTTCATATTCCTTTACATGTCACTACGTTTAAATAGGTTGACTTGGGACACTTTTTTCGTGGTCTTTGTATTAGACCCGTCGTCCATTTATTTGTAAGTCAATGATCCCTACCAATCTTTTGGTTATGAGGGAAGGGCACTATGATCTCGTGATGCGAGCTCGCTCGCACAGGAACCATCTAAGTCAGATCCTAACCCCGGATCAGCACGTTTGCACATACTTCATCTGATGCTCTGTAAGGCTAGTGCCTTAGGTGAGCCTCTCTGGGTGCACGTACAGCACCCTCCCTATTTTCCAGATAGGTACCAGAGCTGTAGGCTCCGCACGACTAACGGTTGCCACCGCTGAGCCGCCGACTCTAAGCCGACTACCAAATCTCCTCATTTTTGGCGGAGGTGTAAGACACGCTCACTTCTCGACGTGGCAGTGTCTTGCGACCATACCACACTACTGTCCGGACATACCCACCGACTTAAAGGGCAACTCACGTGCTCCGCGCGTCTAGGAGACTAGTAAGTAAGGAACAGTAAACACTTCTTCTTATCGTATCAATGGTACTGTAACCTTGAGACGTAGCTTAAGTTGCATAGCGCGAGGTACTCATACGTTATCATACATTATACTATTGTGGCCCGCAACTCAACTACGCCGACCGCATCACTAGTAGCTGCCATTAAATCCTTAACCGTGCAGGTGTTAGGGCACGCAGGGCTCGATGTGCACAATCCACAACTTGCCTCACTCTGGCTAACCTGAGTCCGAAGCCTATTGAAAATCTCACAGGCTATGGCAATTCGTGTCCAGGAGAAAGACTCTCGGAAAGCGGGCCAAATGTTGCACATCGTCTGAGGTGGCTCAATGCTCAGGGGATCGACATATTATTTGACGAAACTTTTCTGGCTCCGAAATGATCAGCAAGGTGATGAGTGTCGATAGCTATATTGTCTTTTTCGTCCGTTACAGTATTGCGGATGTGTCGCAGAGCAACGTCAGCTAGTGGATACAGTAATCTTACCGGGGTCCGCTTAAGGCAGTTAAGTACTTACCTTTCCCTGTTTGCATATGGGTCTTCCACGGGCACCGCCGCCGCCACACCAACCAATACCAAAACCAAGAAGAGTTTCATCGTGATAATCGAATGCAGAAGCGGCGGAACCTGCTTATATATATAAAATGTTTATCAAATAGATTACTTAGTAAACACGTAAATAAAGGAATTTTTTTATTAATTAATTATCTTGTCATGACAGCCTATGTATTAGGATTACACCTTAAGTAACAAGATAATCAATGACAGAATATGTTCAGATTAATTAAATGATAATTCAAGATAACTTGGTGAATCGGTAATTACTTGATAAACAATTTGTTTAGATAGGAAATTAAACTATTTTTCCGGATTTAAATCGCGTATATTTGTTTTCTCAAATATACTGACGTTTCGGGCCCTTTACAGGTCCCATGGTCATGTTTGAAAAAACAAATATACACGATTTAAATCCGGAAAAATAATTTCCTATGTGTAACAATCGCGAAAACCTAAGAATTCAATTTGTTTAGATATAGACTTTAGCTGTATTTATAGCAAAAGTGACATTTTTGGTTTTGGCGGGGTTGCCCGTCGAAGACCAATACGCCAGCAGGCAAAAGTGCGTTTTTAATGTATTCCACACGTACCAGAACAGTCCCATCTTCTACTAAGTTTTGATTATCGTGTCCTTCCTATTCAACCGTTTGTTCATACGAGAAGGGCACTATTATCTATATAAGCAAGCACACACAGGGACTTTATCATTTATCAGTTAGGTCCTGACCGTAAATCAGGCAAGCGGCTCTAGGCACTAGCCTCATTCATAAAGACAATTGCTACAACTGTGCCAAGCGCAAGTTCGGTCGTGTATTTCGTACTGCTGGCACCTATGGGATGGCTATGCTAAATTCCAACTGACCACCTTGAATTCTATTGAGTAACGCACCAAGAGGTTTATCGATGACTAGGATTTAGGAGAGCAAAGCTGCAAAGCCTTGGACTCTACCGTAAAGTTTCCTACTGCACGATATGTCACGATGGATTTACAAGAAATAGTTCCGCCGAGCTCGTCCTATCATTGGCTGACTAGATATGGGCTAGGGTTCGAACCTAAAGTTATCGATATACCTAAGATTCGTACGAAGCGTTACACTGCCACATTTAAATGGCGTACTGTTTTGAAGTGGACTTACCTGCCTGCAGACTTGTTCCCTGAACGCAATGACTTGGGCCTTTTGAGAGCTAGAGGGAATAGGCATTTTTAGGTGTTCATGCTCATCATCGACCTCATCGTCACTTTCCGTCAGGTAAGACGTCAAATACGCATTCACATTATACATAAAAAAAATCGACAACTGGTATGAGTTGTCGTACGTACATTGATGTCTTCTTTCACAGTCAATTCATCCACTCTTTGAGAAAGCATTTCCAATGGGAAGGAAACGTTTTGATAGCAATAGGGCTCCATACCAAACCTGATCCTGTTTCCTGACTTTAACAGGAATATATATTTTGGAAATATGTCTTTTTGTACGTAATCACAGTAACTTCTTTACTAAAATATCTAATGTACACTCCGTTAACGTCAGAAACAAGGACCGTCTTGTCCTCCCTAAAATAAACAGCACGATCTTTGACCGCAGCACCTATGTAACAGCGATTAGAATTTATAACAGACTTCCAATGGAAATGAAATATTTAAATGGTGATAAATTTAAAGTTTGTTTAAAAAAATGGTTAATGTTAATTAACAAAGTTTTTTACAATCTTAACGAATTTTATATAAAGACATCAAATATTTGACAATTGTATAACTAACTTAATTATAATTTAAATTTATGACATTTAAGTTGTAATAAATTTTAATTGAATTGTAATTTTAAGACATTGTACGCCTGATTTGGGTAAGAATTGTAGATCTAATCACTTGTAAGTAACACCTGTATTTTACAAATTCATACAATAAATGTTTCTGATTTCTGATTTCTGATTTCCTGCCGCGAAACAGTAAAATGCTCGTTACTGTGTTTCGGTGTGTCTCAGATTGACGGGCGCAGTAGGAGTACCCCGCAGATCTTTGCGGTTTAAAGTGGCATAGCAACTGCTATGGGTAGGTTTGTCGCTTACCACCAGGTGCACGACTTGTTCGCAACAATCGGCAAGTACCTTATACTGATTGACAAGTCCTTTCACCACGATAAGAAGAAGAAGAAGGTGAGGTTAGTCTGTTTTGTGAGACCCCCCAGTTTGCGCTGGTATGCATGCAATGGTATGTATGCATGCAATCGCAAGTATGCAGGTGCTGATTACCTTTATCATTGTGATGATAAAGCCGCTTGATTAATCGGTTTTCGATGGCATTAAGAGAGATAATTAAGCCGCTTTATTTCAAAATATATGTACATGTATAGACATAAAAACCTCTAAAAAAATTTGAAGTATATTTTGATGTTATGCATTCTAATAATGCTCATCATTGACATACAATTATATGGACGTCGGGTCTGCGCTAAAAGGTGTCAGAACTTATAGGGCGTTAAAATCGTATACAGAGCGTCATTCACTCTTTAGTCTTCGTTTGTTCGACTGACAGTGAAGCAAGCAAAATTAGACAGTACTGCGATGACATTACAATTTAAATTCAACGTTTTAGCTTTTTCATATTTTTTACATGTCACTACGTTTAAGTAGGTTGACTTGGGACATTGTTTTCGTGGTTTTTGTATTAGACCCGTTGTCTATTTATTTGTAAGTCAATGATGCTCATTATTTTTTTACATATGTCCATATTGTAGTTATTTCTGCCGCCAAGCGGTAATGTGCGTATTCTGCATTCTAGTTGAAGGATATTCAGTAATTTATCTGTTATATATTTAAGCGTCTTATTATTCAATTTATTGTATAAAGGATTGATTTTTTTTGATAAACAAATAATTGCTCAATTGACCTTGATCTCATCTGATGGAAAGTGACCATGAAATCGATGACATGGTTCTAGATTTCACACAAATTTCATTTAAAGTGTAATATCATCATCATCCACAACCTGATTTCACCCACTGCTGGGTATAGGCTTCCCGAAGTTTGTGCCATCCGTCACGGTCCTGTGCTAGCCGCATCCATTGACGCCTCGCGACGCGTACTACATATGTCGTTGACCCACCTTGCAACCGCGCGCCAGACGCTTCTTTGCCCATCCTCAGCCACCAATCAGTCGACGTCTTGCTCCACCTGTCATCACAGTTGAGTTCCATGATCCGAGTTCCAGCATCCTGGACTTTAGTCTATCGTCGGACCTCAACATTCGGAACTCGGTGTAGTCGAACAAAGTGTAGCATCTAAGTTTATTTGAAAAGCGCAACCCCTAGAGTTTCTTGCTCGTTCTTCTCAAGGAAGGCAGCACAGTGGAGTCACAGTGGCTCAAAAGCTTAAAAAATGACGTTTTTGGAATCGAACCCCGGATCTCCTCAACCAGCGCCCACACCACCAAAGTCGTCATTTAATTTAGTTACGATTATCCTGTTAGTACAGGATACCCTAAAGTTACAAACTAGGTTCTCAGTGATTGTCTGTAGGTTAATTCAAAATCGCATCATTTCAAAATTAATGCGGAATAAGAACATAGTAAACTATTTAGGAATTTCGCCACATGGCAAACTTGGCCATAATCTATTCGAAATAAAGAAAAAACAAACTGTAACAAAACATTATATACTTTATTGTTCAACACCATAATTTACTATAAGTTTGTCTTTTTTGGTCTTCACAGATTCACAGCCTGGATGTGATCCAGGAGTGGAAGGTAGTTACCCTGGCGAAAGCTTGCGGGTGGCCTAATTGGCAGCCCGCGCGATGGCCGAAGGACACGATACCGATCTGGAAAGAAAGAAAATATTGAATGAAAAATACCACCAAGCCCAAATACAACTTGCTTAAATACCTTTGGCCAATAAGGGTAACACTCCCTTGGCACTTATCAGCAAGGCTTAAATGGGTTTCTAGGTGAAGTTTAGTAACAAAGGAGTTGAAGAACTTACCAGTTGCCCGTTGTATGCCAAAGGACCACCAGAGTCTCCGCTGCAAGTAGAACGTCCTCCAGCACCAGAAGTACAGATGTTAGAAGCAGGAATTGGGCCGTACGTGTTCGAGCAAATTGCGTTGGTTATCACTGGGAGAGTAACGTGGTGGAGCTGTTGGTTTGTGCCGACGCCTTCGTCTGAGGTATTGGTAGAAAAATTCTAGTCAAACTTTTTGGTGAAGCATCACCAAAAGCAACACCAACCTTGTGGTGAAGCATCACACGATTGTAGCATACAATGGAATTTGTACTAGTACTACATTGAATGGAAAATGATTAACCTTCCTTTCATATTTGTCAAGGTCGATTTGTTATTGGCATCGTGATGCAGGTTGCATCGGTATCACATCGTTTTATGAGAAAGGATGGAATCCCATTTGTGTTTGCTAGTGTTCTCGTGTTTAGTCACATGCGTTTGATTAAGTGCTACTTACATAATGTACAATGCATCAAACCTGTTTAGTGTTTTTATTGATATCAAAGATCGTGGGGCACATCTTTAAAGGCGACATAAAGTTAATAGTTTCGCTAGCACCTCTTTTAGAAATGGAACGTCCTGCTTTGGCGGTATATTTGTGGTTTGACACTGGAATCATGTACATTTCTAAAACCTAACCCTGGACTCTATAGGGAAAAAACGGTTGTTCCGTGTCCTTAATCTACGCCATAGAAATCTTCAAAAGTTCATCACTGACACCATCCTTAACTCTACAACAAACTGCCACAAAGGTTAAAAATTTTGGATAGCCAAGGAGAGAATTCAGTTCTCTATAGAACTGTTAAAAATGCTAGTACACAGTTGATGAATATTTAAGTGACCAAATAATACGGTCGGCGCATTAAAGCACATAAGTCAAAATCCAAAATTATTCATTTGAATTAATACATTTACAGGCTGAAGCACATAAATCAAATTAATTTGTTATTTCATTTATTTGTAACTTTATTGTAGAGGCGTCTTTTTCAAATTTATCATTCTCTTCACATCTTCCAATACTCTAAACAACACAAAAAATATATAGCTAATTATAGATGGACTTATGTGGTTTAGTTCGCCGACTCTAGTATGAATTATAATTTTTATGTTTATAATTTAATATTACATCGAATAGAATTATTGCTTGACCTTGAAATGTTGTATAAATTTTTATTGAATTGATATTCAATTATTTTTATGTGAAATTATTCCACTAGTTTGTTATAAGTATTAATACAAAGATCGAACGCTCTGAATAAAAATTCCTTCGCTCCGGCCGGATTCGAACCCATGTCTTCTAGCAGACTGTGCCAGACGCTAAGCCACGGAACGGTCTAGAAATGTATAATTGAATATTTTATTAATTAATTAGATGGAACGTTTAAATTTTCGTACGCCTCTGTAAAAGGTGCATCTTAGCTGTATTAACAACTTCTATGAGTCTGTACACTATCATGTTATGACCTATGATGACGTAAATATCTAGATTCATTGATTTATATAGTGGTAGTACTTCCCTACTGTTGATATACGAGGATTAATTAACATTTCGTACTGTCTGCTTGACGTCCGAAGCCAACCGCCTGCGCATTCACACCCACGAACAGATTGGAGCCAGATGCCACGGGAATAGCGCGGATGTTGTCTGCAAGAAAAAGAGTGTTGTTTAGATGTTCCATAAATCAAGTTTAAAAAGTATGTTGATCATCACGTACTCATCCAACGACTACAAAGTCAGGGGTTGGCGTTTAATAAAGCTTAGTTCAAATATCCAACGTCATGCTACATTTTTTTATGATACCAAGTGACAGGTGGTGTTAAGCGTCTCAATTTAATTGTCCCTATCTACCGACTGGAGAGATTTATTTATTTCTTTATAAAGGACATCCAACAGCATACATTGTAAAACTTAAAAACTAATTTACATGAGCAATAAGTGTTGCCAATTATAGGATATCACTGAAAAAAATGGTATGACTGATCAGTTTAGAGTTCATTGAATACAATGTAAATTCAAAAGTAACAACAATGATAATAAAAATTAAAAATTTTAAAAGAATAAGACAAAAGTTAGTAATAATAATAATATCGAGTTCTTAGGTTTTCGCGATTGTTACACATAAGAAATGAAACTCTTTTTCCGGATTTAAATCGCGTGTATTTGTTTTTTCAAACAAACCGACGTTTAGGGCCCTTTACAGGTCCCATGGTCACGGTTGACTGAGGTGGTACAGTCTTTAACCAGTTATGTCTAATATTAATGCAAACCACTCTATTTTTTCACTATAGTTACAATAGTTATTAATTAAATACCTTATTTTTAATTTACAGGATGCAGAAGTTTACAAGCTTGACTGTGAGTGCGGTCTCTCTTATATTGGACAAACAAAACGAAGTATTTGTACCCGCGTCAAAGAACATACAGGTGATGTCAAACACCGTCGCGTAAACAAGTCTGCAGTCTGCGAGCATGTCATGGATAAACCTACACATTCAATGAAGTTTGACAAACCCCAGGTCCTTGCAAAAGAAGTCCGTTATCTACCCAGGATGCTGCGAGAGGCCATTGAAATTAAAAAACATCCTAATTTCAACAGGCAAGATGGTTTCTCTTTACCACCAGTTTGGGATCCAGTATTTCCTCTAATGAAAAATCCCAAACAGACATAAGACTGCAGTACTAATTAATATGTTTTAGTTTATTCTAATTTGTATTAATAATTAATAATAAATTAAACTTAATAAAAATTCATTCAATAAATAATTTGTAAAACTTAATGTAGCGTAAATTGGAATGTTTTCTTTGTAAAATTAAAGAGAAGGTATTTAATTAATAACTATTGTAACTATAGTGAAAAAATAGGGTGGTTTGCATAACTGGTTGAAAACTGTACCACCTCAGTCAACCGTGACCATGGGACCTGTAAAGGGCCAGAAACGTCAGTTTGTTTGAAAAAACAAATATACGCGATTTAAATTCGGAAAAATAGTTTCATTTCCTATAATAATAATATTTGTAAAAATTGCAGCAAAATACATTCCAAATTAAAATGATGATAAATAACAAATAGTACAGAGTTACATATTTTTTTTTAATATACAGTATAACAATTATTACAAAAAATTAGGTAACTGCTAAGGGGGACAAATTATTCTTATAATATGCCGTTTAAACGAATGCTTAGTATTCGCGAAAATGTCAATTGTACTGAAAGGCTTGTTGTAAGGCGTGAGACGATCTCGTTCTGGCCATAGTTCGTACGACTTGGTGGAACGTAAAAAACTTTATGAAGTTGGTTACGAGGTTGATGATGGGGCACAACAAGACGAAACAATGATACAAGGGCAGGGCTGTCAAGGCGAGCGTTAACAATATCATGGAGGAAGGCCATGTCAAGAAGCTGTCTTCTATCAGAAATATATACTAAAGTATTTGCAGGCTTCCTCGTATGTGGTGAACTTTTGAGTTAGGGTTTCCTGGAGAGACCACGCAGTCAGTGGCGGCTCACCTAAGGCAATAGCCTTACAGATAACCGGATGAAGTACGTGCAAACGTACTGATCCGGGGTTACGATCTTTGCGAGCTCGCACAGGTCATAGCACCCTTCCCGCATTACAAAGAGGTTGATAGAGAGGGGCACTATAAACAAAACTTATGTAGAAAGATATGGGACTGTCCATAGCAATTGCAGTGCCACTCAGAGCTTTAAATCGCGAAGAACTGTGAAACACTGCCACTGCGCTTGCCACCTTGAGACTTAAGTTGTCAAGTCCTCATCCTCGTCCTCATCATCTGTGAGCCAATTAAGCGTCGAGAGTAATTCAATGAGCCCAAATACGATAGTTCTGTTGTAACTATAGTTGCGGTGTTGGGTAGTCTGCAGACTGTCCTGGTTGTGGAATCAAATCATGGTTACCATATTAATGCAGTGTCATTGGATTTACACAGTCTATCAAATTTGAAGTCGATTGGACAAGTGGAAGTAAATAACTATTCATTTTAAGTATGAATTCCTTGTACAAACTGAGAAATCAGTCCATCCGCTTGGGAGCTACGAGCCTTAATCAAATTCAAAAACATTTATTTCAGATAAAAATCCATATAATGTTTGGCAAATAAGTGGTTAGACTGTGATGTTACTCAACAAAATAATTTATGGTCTAATATTAGTATTACATTATTATTATTTTTTTTATAAAATATAAGTGTGCATTTGACCTCCATCTCACCTGATGGAAAGTGACGATGAGGTCGACGATGGAGCATGCACGCCTAAATAATGCCTATTTAATATAAAGGGACGATGAGGAGTTCAATCCATTTCCGCAGGAGTGGCGAGTCCCACTGATCTGTGAACACACACTTGTGTGCATTCTTGATGTTGGGGCCCCAGTGGAGCCGCCCCAGTACAGATACAAGTTTTCCTCACGAGGGCCATGAAACCATCTGTCTGGGCCTCGGTAAACATCCCCGATGCACTACACCTCCACGGTAGCTCCATCAGCACCCTTGTAACGAAAAACGTTACATACCTCTTTTTTTTACATAATCGGTTAA